TATTTATCTTTAGCTCATGTTGATTTTAGTCTAAACTCTAGCTCATATGTACAACAGTTACATTTACATCTGCAACACAAGAATTTCACTTCTACTTGAGCATTGCTTTTTTAAATCCAGAAGAATATTGAAATCATCCTCCAGAATTTTTAAATATAGTTAGTAGTGTCAGACCAGTTTTGATGTTTTGGTCTCCCTGTTTTTCGTTGATTTTTTTTTTTCCATCAGGATTTGGCAGTCACTGAACCAAGCAGAGGAGATAGCACAAACTGCATGGCAGCAGAAGCAGTAGCTGCATAGCTGGCCCCTGGTTTGTTCCCTGTTTTGGCTTTTCACCTTAAATTGATTTCATACCACTGTCAGTACTATATATCACTTTAATTTCCCCTTTAAGTTTATATCCTGTTTCTAATGTTTGTAGTGTGGAAGCCTCTGTCATCTGCTGTTGATGAACTGTATGAAGGTGTTTGACGGATTGGATGGCATAAACAGGCATTTGAGATCATGTCTGAGGGGTCTCCGGGAGTGGAAGAATTCATGAAAGTTAATGTTTCTCATTCCATTCAAACTGTTTTTGGTAGAAAATATAAACATAGTTTTGAAACAGTAATTTATTACTAACATGCATTATTGTCTAAATTGGTGCATGTGTCTGCTGTCACTAATACCCCAGAGCATACAGTTCATTCTATACAGGAAAAATAAGTAGACAATAAATAAATCATCCATGCCATCAACACACAGCAGTGTAAGAGTGTAATTACTGACTCCTTCTTCACAGTCAAGACAACCCGTTGTTAGACTGGCTGTCTCCATCAGTCTATATGTCTGTGTCTCTGTAGTTTACCTCTGCAGGCTGTTTCTCCAGCCTTTCTGATTCTCACTTTTCCAAGTATTTTTGATGTATTTGTTAATTATGCTATGATTCTTTTAGTACAGTTCTGTTATGAAGTCAAAAGGTAATGTTTTAAAACTGAGGTGACGAGCAAGAGGCAGATCTGACTGAGAAACTCAATTAGAGATATACTGCACACTCAAAGGTTACCAGCATGGGAATCATACAGTAAAGCCCTCTTCATTTAAAAAATGAACATCTTAAATTTAACTTAACACTAGTGATTGAGCTTATGACTGACTGAGTGAGTGGTGTTCAGTTAACAACCTCCAACTGAACACCACGAAAACTAAAGAACTTATCTTGGACTTCAG